GGGGGGGGGGGGGATTTTTATTTTAAATATAACGCTTAATCTTTGAATTAAAAAAAAGTTTGTTCATTATCCAACCTAAAATAATCACTGCTGTAAAAGATGAAAAATTATGTTCTTTTGGTGCCCAGGGCCGTAAAAATAAAAGAAAATTAAATTCCTTCAGATTGGAATGTGATAAATTTTTAAAATACAGATAAATATTCAAGTTAATGATTTTTATAGTGCCCCTATTTCAGGGCTAACTAAAATGATCACATTTAGAAATGGGATCCTACTTCATTTTTATTGATAAATGACCATAGATTTTACATTGGTGAATTCCTTTTTTTTAATAATACATCTTTTAAAATTAAAAGTAAGATTTGTCTTTAGGTCATGGTTGTTGGCTGTGCTCAGCTTGCATATCAAATGAAACTGGATTCACCTCAATATCAATATTTAAAAGTTATTATAAATCTAGCTGTTTTAATATATCTTTTTTTTAAATTTTAACTTGAACTTTGGCGAATAGTTTTTGAAAGGGCCCTAAATTTGGACGTTTTTTCCAAAATCATTTTCAAGCAATGCTAGTTATATTGGCTAGCCCTTTATAAAAATTCATTCATAATTGTCAGCCAAAGAAGTTAAAATGAGCAATTATTTTAGAATTACCTAAAAATATTATTGGTTTAATTAGGGCAAACAAAACTAAAGAATCAGCTAAAAATGAATTTTGTAACACATTTATCATACTAAGTGTGGCTTACTGTAAATTTTTTTTCTGTCTTACAGAAAGCAATCAATGCTATGTTAGCATTGCGTAGGATGGGAGTGTCTTTATGTTAAAAGCTTGGACCAATTTAATGTCAGGTGAGCGAGAAGACCAGACTTATCAATTATTATATTTATAAAGTGGACTAATTTAATGTCATATGAGAGACATGACCAGACTTATCAATTATTATATATATAAAAAGGAGTAATTTAATTCTTTATAAACTTCTCAAACCACCTTAGAAAGTATAAATAAATTTTTGGATTTAATTTTTGTCTTTAGCTGTTCTACCAAAATTTTTCTGTTAAAATTTACAACAGCAATATCTACAGTATAGATAATTTTGTAATTACTTGTTGACTAAAGAACCTAATCATTTAAAGTTTTCTCCACTGCAGATGTCAAAACCCTACATCATCAAAATGTTGCAGAAAACCCGCCAGATAACTGTTCACTGTATGGGAGAGGGCAACCACTGCCACTCTTCAAACACTGCCAGCAAGGACAGAAATTTTGAGTTCACTTGTTGGTCAGGCTTATTTAATGTGACAAACAAAAAATTAAGTGGATTGGATGACACTTTTATGTTTCTAATCAGCTTTGGTTGGGTTTTGTCTGCTAATAATAAACTGGTAATGTTTTTAGTCTTCAGTTCCGAGCTGGAGTATTGATGAAAAGATTTCAGATTTAGATTCAGTGTACGGAACACCATAAAACAGGTGATGGAGATGGCTTTTGTAACTTGGAGTAGGTATCCTGTAAAGTCCTATTGAATTGATATGAGGAAAGAAAAAAAATATATCTATATAATACTTAAATGTGAAGAAAGTGCATTTCAGTGAAACTGGATGAACTCAAATTTTTTCTTTATTGATCTCCCTTCATGTTGGAAATTCATGTTTTTTTTTTTAAACAGAGAGAAGGGTGTGTGGTGAGAGATAACATTTAATATGAGTCTTTTACTATTTACAATGAATTATGGTTATGGTACTCATTTACTGGCACTAACAACTAGAATTTCAGTTCATCAAGATGTGCCGTGTTGAATGAAATTTTATGCAATGAACATTTTTTTAATGGGTGTTATTTGAACTTTCAAACTGTAATTGATCCATGTTGGGGGTATTTGTAATTGTATATAACTTGCAAATTCCTTTTTCTGACAAGACAAACATGATTTCTATTGACATGCCTTTTTTTAAACAATTACACCTACATATTTTTTACCCATGTAGACCCTTCAATTTTTTATTACCTGCTTCAAATTCATTTAACATAATCTTACCCAAACAAAATTTCATGTAATTGTTTTCATATAACACACTTCCCCTTTTTTTTTGCAAATTCAATAAAGAGGCAAAAAAAATCTTATTGATGTTTCTTTGTATACAGTATTCTATTGACAATGGATGAATGACTAATTTATAAATATTTATATATATCCCTACTGTGTTTCATTTTTTGTCATTGTTGTTATCTGATTAATTCCTTCTGTAAACTTGATAAATATTCTTCAATGTTATTTATATGTCACTTATATTTCATAGCAGCCATAAGCAATTTAAAATGTTCAAATTATGTTTGTACTATATTGTTTTTTTTGTTTTTCTTCAATTTTTTAATGAAGGTGTGAATAAAATAATTGTTGCCTTGATTTGCATAAAGAATAAAGCCACACTTGCCTGTAATTTGTCTGTAGCTCCATAATACTTATAGGACAATCTAAGCATTAGTGAAGTGAAAAAAGTTAAACCTAGGCACAGTCAAAATAGTTCAGATTTCAACTTTTAATAAATGAAGTTTCCAGAGTATTAGCTATAACATTGACACCAATCATTTTGTTGTGTATGTTTGCATCATATTACCCCCAATCGTATGTCTTTCCCAGAAAAACCACATAACCAATTAATGGAGTGTATTAAACTGTATTCTATAATTTTAAAGATTATGCTTTTCATATTATTGCTATGTTGTATTTTTCTATTTACATGATTTTTTAAAACAACAAAACACACAAATGTATATAGTTGAGCAGGCGCCGACCCATATAACAAGGACAGTCATTGTAATTTACAAAGAAGGAAATAATTGTTGAGAATTTAAGTCGTGTATTAAATTCTCAGAAGTAGGAGACAGACTCATGAACAGTTCAAATCACCTTTTAACTTTATTTGTGTTCTGTCATATATTGTCCCATTTTAAAATATTAAGAGTGATTATTGCCAAAATATAGAACATGCGCACAACCTGGGAATTAATTAATACTGTAGAGATCTAGACCAGACAGTAGAAAGAAACTGAAAAAGATTGCACCACACCAGCAAGACTGCACCACACCAGCAAGATTTCACGTCACCATCTAGATGTACTCGATAGTCTTTTGGTTTTAAAATTATTGTTTTTCTCCAATACAGATTAAATGAACATTGCTTGTAATTAACTTTGCTGAAAATTGAAAGAATGTCTCGCAACAGTCTACTAATTGACACTTGTCTGTGTGTCCAGTACATGTATTTAGAAAATATCTCAGTCTGGGGCAGGCCAAGCTGAGCAACAAAAATACGCCATGAAAAGGGTGAAATATAAATTAGGCCAAAAAATCGCACCTGCACATTTTGACAGCACTAATAGATTTACTGAAAACTGAACTGAATAAAGATTATTTTAAAAATCAAAATGATGTTTTTTTTTACTGTTCAATTGTTATGTACTATATTATAAGGGAAGTCGGGACGTGCGAGAAACCAAGTGTGTATGTGGTGTAGAGTGCTGGACAGGTCACCGTCTCATCATCACCAAACTCAGCCTTCACGAACAGCCCAAAGGACGAGCGCAGGGGAAGAAGATCCCGAAACGTATGAACACGACAAAGTTGAAGAGCCCAGCCCAAGGACGACCGCCGGGGAAGAAGATCCCCAAACGTATGAACACGACAAAGTTGAAGAGCCCGACTATTTAAAAAAAAAATTTGTGGATGGTCTGGAACAGCAGTTCTCAGCCTGTGGGTCGCGACCCCTTTCAGGGGTCGCACGACCCTTACACAGGGGTCACCTAAGACCATCGGAAACACATATGTATGAAATAGCAACGATAATAATTTTTATGCATGGGTGTCACCACAACACGAGGAACTGTATTAAAGGAAGGTTCAGAACCACAGCTCTAGAAGAACACTTGAAATCCAAGTGTCTAGACAATCACAACGTCAAATCGGATTGGGCAATATTGAATAACACCGCTATGGCATTTCCTGTGCAGGATGTCATAAACTGTATTGCAACAGTATTGTCTTCTGCGCAAGCAGGGCCATCTTTACAGCAGCGGGCACAAGAATGCACCGATGCCCCAAACCCTCAATATACTCAAGGCCGGGCTAAGGAGAGGGCCAATCACCCTTGGCGCCAATATTAGGGGGTGGCAAAATCGACTTAAGATAGGCCCTTAATATTGAATTAAAAGATAAAGATCCCATGTACTTCACATAGACAAGAGCGTCAAAATCGTCTTACTAGTGCGTCCTGGGCACCGCTTTTCCTGGGAACGGCTCTGTCTATAACCTACTATTCGAGTAATAGGTGCGCCTATGCGTTTTAAACAGTTTCTTTCAGGTAATTTACCAAGGTGTGGGGTACTATTCCAGGCATTTAGGGGGAGGGGAGCAGGGCATCTATCAGCACTTTGCATGGGTTACAGAAATCCTTTTTTATTTTTAGTTGACTCTAAATAGTAATGTTTCATAATTTTCTTTAAAACTATTTATTTGTTTAAACTAATTCATCAATGAAGGAACATACATTAAATAAATTCAGTTCAAAACAGTTGATTGTTAATTTTAAAATGACAAACAATCTATTAATATCTAATTATCATTTCGGATTTAATTTAAGACTTAAGTCTATGTTAACTATGTAGGTTTTCTTCATTTACATTACTAAATAATGAACGTTTGTTGCCTTTTGTAAGACTAGGACACCATTAACAATAACAATAAAAGTTATATACAAGAGAAATCGTAAAATTCCACAATTTAGGGACAACAAACAAATGTAAGACAAACCATTTTATATTCATGAACATTTATTTCCAGACCATCTTGAAATAGCATCAAAGATTTCCCAAACAATCAATAAGAATTATTTTAAGTAGGATATTATAATAAAAAGTGACCAAATCAGATAATTTATTTTTTCCCCCACCTTTCAAAGTGGTTGATTAGAAGATCAAATTTGTATCCTGTATTCTTAATTTTTGTCACCCTCAAATATTAAACACATCTAACAGTATTCTTTTTCTAATGCTGAAACATGGAATGTTCTTCTTAAAAATAAACATACATGCCATTATATCAAAGTGGATGTAAATAATTCCAAATAAGTGGAATAGTTTATAGAATAGTACATTTAATAAAGGTAGCATGATCATATTGCAAGCTGATCAAGTATACAATGTTAGATATGTGGTAATATGTGACATAACATGAACCTGTGACAACTAAACATAAAATTCTGAATGTACATTTACTCCTGTGTCCTAAAAAACATATTTCAGTACCCTTTGTGTAAATACATTCTAACAGTATAAAAACTATCTCTATAACTGAAAAAAGTAGCAATTAATGGTTTAAAGGTTTGAATGTAGTATTATTGTGAACAATTACTTTTAATTAAAAAATAAAAAGAAAAAAAAATACCCATTTGTCTATAAATTTAAAAAATAATTATATGCTAACCACACATTGAGCATTTTAAAGAATTTCTTTACCTAAATATTTTATAGCTATCACCTGACACTTCAATGAAACTGAAGATTTCCGAACATGAATTAGTATCTGTCATGCATTTCTTTTAATGTACAAGTAGATGGAACAAACTGCAGTAAAGTCTTCAGTCTTCAACACCACCCACTTCTACACACATAAGAAACCCAAGGTAGACCAAAGGGACCAAGAAAACAATGAACAAAATCACAAAAATAATGGACGGAAACATCAGCAATATTAAATATTTCATATAAATAGTATTGAAAGATTCATTGGGGGGTGATATGTTTTATCTGTCGAGAGGAGGACACCTGCAGACACACTGTATCATAATATAAGATTACATAAAATATAACGTACAAAAAGGATCAACCAAATATTATTTAAGTCAAGTCATTAAGTATTTTGTTTGTTAAGTTATATATTTTGTTATTATACATAAGGCATCTTTTAAAATCTATGTACGGTATTTTAAAAAAAACATTTATTATTTTTAAAAAACTATTATTAAAAAAAAACATAAAAATTTGAAATATATATATTTAGGATATAGCTGCAAGCATTATCAAAATATTTGTCAATACATAAATTACATTAATTACTTTAATTCAGTTGAATTGAATAATCATGATCAAGGCATGCTCATTTTTATGTTTCTACCATTACTTGTTAACAAAATGAACTCAATTGGTTATAGTTATAACCTTGAACTCTATTTAACATCTAGCTTTAATAAACCATATTTTTAGAGAGTAACAAAACATATATGCACATTTTTTCCCAACAGCAGTTAGTGTGGTGTTGTAGAAAAAGTCATTTTGCTCTACTTTTTTATTCAACAATGGATATCAATAATTGATTGCAAGCTGAAACTAAGAACTAGTAATACCCATAATTGTAAAGGGAACTTTCTAGACAAACAGTTCTTTGTTTCATTTTTTTTTAAATATTTTTTTTTAAGTCTAACTTTCTTTTCCCATCAAGACACCATGACTGATGCATCTATTGTACCAGCACATCTAAAGATGACAAGAGCCTGCTGCTATAACTTGTACTGATGCATCTATTGTACAAGCACAACTAAAGATGACAAGAGCCTGCTGCTATAACTTGTACTGATGCATCTATTGTACCAGCACATCTAAAGATGACAAGAGCCTGCTGCTATAACTTGTACTGATGCATCTATTGTACCAGCACATCTAAAGATGACAAGAGCCTGCTGCTATAACTTGTACTGATGCATCTATTGTACAAGCACATCTAAAGATGACAAGAGCCTGCTGCTACAACTTGTACTGATGCATCTATTGTACCAGCACATCTAAAGATGACAAGAGCCTGCTGGTATTACTTGTACTGATGCATTTATTGTACCAGCACATCTATGGATGACCAGAGCCTGCTGCTAAAACTTGTACTGATGCATCACTTCTATTGTAACAGCACATCTATAAACCAGATTCATAACTAATAATACTACAAATTTCAGTTGACGATGAAATTGAAAAGCATTTATTCAACATTCCTTAATTTTTCTAAACACCCTCCACCCCCCAAAAAAAAATCTCCAGGGTCAATTTCAAAACATAGGTTAGTTCCCCTTTAACATTTATTTTTGGTTTATCACCAAGATGGATTCACTGTAACTGAACCGCACCCTAGACGATCACAAGAGAATAATTCTATGGTCCAGGTTTGGAAATCTGCTGGAATGACATCATTTCATAACTACATCATGATAAGGCACAGAAGATAATAACTTGAAAGACATCCAGTGGTCAAAATTTCCTACACAATTAAAAGAAAATGAAGGAAAAAGAAAAGAATCAGTAACTGAATCAAAAAAAAAAATTGTGCCCAGAACATCTGAAAAAATTGACATATTTGCCCTGGCTGTTGATATGTAACAGGGCTATTGATATTTCACAGGGCTGTTGATGTTTTTAAGGGCTGTTGATATTTAACAGATGGTAATGACTTGTAAGTGTTTTTAACAATAAAATTTAACAGCTTCAATTGAATAAATTTGACACAATATTTTGATAGTTGTGGCCATATTCATGTCAATGACCAGCACAAGACAGAAGAAGAAAAAACCTTGATAAGCTTAAAACTTAAGTGCATCTTTCAAAGTTGATTTTATTCCTAATAATGGAATAATCTTAAGGAACAATATTTTGAAAGTGGGTTCATTTAATTATGGTAAAGTGTTGACCCATTTTATAGGATTGATTTCTGAAAAACCTGTCGAACATCATCATTAATTTCAAATCATGGTATGATCTGTACAAAAGTGTAGGATGGCTAAACATTTTATCTTTCATCTGATCAGCAACAACTCAGTTTAGATTCTAAACATTGCTGGTGTTTCTGTGCATAGAACCCCAACTGGATACACTCTCATCATGTGGATAAATCTGGCTTGATCCATTGGATTTCATCCTAAATGAGTCTGAACTACCTTTCTTGGTCTGATTCTCAACAATCTTCTTACTGGACAGTACCTGTAACTCTTCCCTCAAACTGTTGATCAACGGCTGGGGTGATGCCCCTGGCTGAAGGCTTTCTTTGATAACATCAACTTCATCCAAGTTCTTCTTCTCTCCTCTCTGTGGTGGTACGTGCCTACGTACGTCTATGACTCCTCCACGAGGACTGCTGCTACCTGAGTTTGGCTGACTGAGTTTATTTCTCTCCTCCTGCCAGGCACTTGGTTTCATGGCCCTTCCATTCCTCTTGTTTGGCTCTACAATTTGAGAAACAGGCAGGTCTTGGTACGAGGCCAGTCCATGGTACGGATCTGTGTACCGGTCGGTAGGACGCAAAGGTAATGTGTTCTCATACACCGGGTTCTGGAATGTTTCTTGATGATAACCACCATTGGCGGTACGATGGCTATGCCCCCTTTCGTCATCGGGCTTAGAAAATGACCCATCCCGTGCATGGCTGCCATTAGACGGGAGATTCGAATCCATATTTTTGGTTTTGATTACGATGGGCTCTCCAGGCTGGGTTGCGTAATAGCTCGTCCGTATGCTGCTTGGCATTGACTCTGTGAAAGTGGACGTGGTCAGTCTCTCTTGTTGTGGAGGAACGCTGGACAGGTTGGTCTAGGAAATGAAATTGTTTTACCAAAGTTATAAGAAACAGAAGCAATGTAAAACAGGAGGTCCCAGAAACATGGGAGTGGAACTTAAAACATTAACTCTTTTCATTCCTCTTATATAGGGAGCGTACAACTATATACGTTGGTTATTTTCGCTAATAAAATATTGTCTTTTTTATTTTTTAAGTGATCTATACCTATTTTATCATACATTTGGAAGAAAAAAAAAAATAATAATGTTTAAAGATTTTAAATAATAATTGTTGTTTTTTTGCGAGTTCGAGGTTCACGTGACATGCCGAAGTGTTACTCCCCATTTTGGGAAAATTTTTGTAAGACGCTAGTCGACTCGGCAGCCCAAAATTTTAAATAATGAATACTGACGAAAATATTGATCAAATTTTATCTGAAACATCTGGGGAAGATAGTTGGTAACCTGAATCTAGAGACTTTGATGCAGATTTTGATGAGAATCTGCCTTTATAGCCCTTTATGGTCACTAAAACTAGAAGGTTAGTAATCAAGTGTTTCTTCATTCTATATTTTTTTTATAGATTTTTTACTTTTATTTTTATTTTATCGATTTAAATTCTATTTTTAATCATAATTGAAGTATTTACTACCCATTTTAAAATGAATCTACGCAAATAAAATCATTGTAAAATTTGCGAATATTTTATTACATAAATAATTTTAGAAGACGTTATGCTTAGAAACTGTTGCTAAGGAATGTAAAGAATGCAGTCAGCACTGTTTATTATGATATATTTTATCCTACAGACTATGAAATTTTACATCGATGTGTGTTATAAAAAATTAATAATCTGACACTAATTTTTTTTGGTCATAACGGTTTTTAGACAGTATTTGAAGTATTAAAAACTGGAAATTTAAGTAAATATATATTTTATATTCATTGCATCCCTAATAGTTGCATCAGATAGGTCTATAATATTAGTTCTTCTTTTACATTCACAGGCTAGGCTTGTATGAGGTTCGAGATGATGACCCACTGGTTCCCAATCCTAAGTTTCCCCCAGCCAGAAAGCCAGGCTGACTTGTGTGGGAAGAAATGTCATCATAACATGGATACAATCTGCATCCTAAAGTCTAAGGATTTTCAAGATATGTTTCACACTGAATTTGGTTGAAAATTTGTAAAATACACCTATTCAACTACCATGGGACCTTCTAAACCTTCCATCAACTGTGGTTTGTTGATATCTCAACAACATATCACTTTTACACATTTCTAGGACTACTAATGTGCATGTCAACTGTACAAGTCCTCAGTGTACAAAAATACCCGTCAACCGCAACAATGTTTCATTACTACCATGAATTGTGGGCTCATGCCCTATTGCCAAAAACAGATTTATTCAAATAAGACATTCTTCAAAGTTTGTAATAATGATACAGACAATGAGGACAAACTGTGCAAAGTGAACTTGTCAGACTTTAACAGAAGTAAGTAAAGATAAAAACCAAAGCAATGTGATATGATGTGATGGATAAGAGATAACATAACTTATACTATGTTCAGTGGAGAGAAAATTAGACAAGCCTCACTTATTTCAAATAATATGACAGCAAATGGATTTTCTTTTGTGAACAAAACCAAACTGATGGTGTCTTTCTAGGCAATTATTGGGGAGAAAACCAAATATTGTCAAATCAGATTTTGAAATCATACAATTCATTCCTGTGACCTGTTTGGTGTTGACCAGTTGATAAATGAATATATCATTCTAAGTAAAAAGAACAGCACTGGACTAATCCCTTTTTCCATTTGGTTGATAATGCCAGCTATAATCTCTTCAGGATTGTTCAAAATAAAACTATGATATAGATGAACTGAAGCTACCTGACATTTTATTCTCAATTGACTTCACCAAGGAAATTATCAAGTGCTGCAAATGTAAATAACACCAAATACAATCTAAATGCAATAATTCCTGATTGCATAGATTTTAAAAGCAATTGTCAGTGTGCTAGGGCTATAAATTAGGTATGCTAAGAAAATAAAATTATAAATCAAATATAGCGCATGGTAAATTTATCTTTGTTAAAATAACAAGAAACTTTCTGACTAACAGTACCATGAAGTTTAAAACCTCTATTATTTTTTAAAAGCTTGAAGTAATTTTTAAAAGGTAAAATAATAATAACCTGTAATTTTTGTGAATACTTGGTGGGGGCGGTAATTTTTATTTTTTAAAAATTATTTCCTCATTTTGACACATTTTACAAAATAATTAATATTTTGGTCAAATTCTCATGAAATGTTCTAAATCATGCATATGATATAAGAAAATGAATTTGCTTTCTAAATTAACAGATTTTACTAAATAATTTTATGTGGTTTGTTTTTTCCTTCTCTGCATGTGATCACCAATTTTTTTTTATCCACATTTTCATTAAAAAAAATTGCATTATTTTATTCACAACTTCTAAGTATTGACACTATGTGTTTGAAAACAAATATTTTTAGAAACCTCATGCATTTCCCCACAATAATATATATAACATCATGAACTTTAGACAGGGATTCTAAAAGTTGTTGACTCTTTTTTAAGGTCACTAGAAATCTCATGAAAAACTTGCAAAATTCAAGGAATGTAAAGAGTTAAACATTTGAGCATTATAAATCTTGTCTACCTAAATAAAATCTGATAATTTCCTGTGTATGTCTGTCTGTCTGAATCCAATAATAAAACTGTATGTTCAGAAGGGAGATAAGTTCATGGTTCATATGACTTTAATTGCAACTAATCACAAAATCTGCACATATTTTTTTTACTGCTTCTAAAATTGTACAACTTTCAATCTCCACAGATCTGCCTCTTAAATAAATAGTTTTAGTTCTTTTTTTGACCTAGTATGTAGATAGCATGTATAAATATGCCAATGTAATTTGGTAGAGAATATAAATGCTTATATATTTCCAGCCACCCCACAAATTAGAAGCAACTTGTTATTGAAATATCTTAAACAATTGTTGATACTGATTATTGCAATCCAAGCTTACATGGAGTGTTTGGCAAAGATATGGCAAACTCATCTTACCTGAGTGCTGGGTAAAGATATAATGGCAATCTCATCAGAGGCCCTGTAAGGGCTCCATGTGACAAGACCACTGCTGTCATATGGCTCATGGCTCCGGTGCACATGGATTGGTGTGTGTTTTTTACCTATGAGATAAACAGTGATGATAGAAAAAAGTTGAAATGTACCAAATTTAAAACTAAAATTTAGATAATACATGTAGATACTTTTGGTAAGTACTTTTTGTAAGATTTAAGCTTGACTGCAGTCTCCCCACCATGTTGTGTTAGATTTCTGTATTAGATTCAACACTGGAATAAAAGGGTAACAGAGCCTTCTTACAAAAAAAAACTATTTTAATCTAAAATAGAAATACCTTGGCCCAAAATGATTTGCTTTATGGGCCTTCCAGATATTATAATAAATTAAAAATATTGGCCCGACCTTTTTGTGTGTCTATGCTACATGTCTACATATTAAATAGGTGTCGATGCTGCATTTATTTTTGTCCATGTCATATTTGTGACCATGTTATGTAAAAGTCAAAGTTATATCTTATAGGCTTATTTTTCCATTTTGTGTAGTATGTGTGCAACTGTTCAGGCAATGTTCTCAGTTTCATTATTAACTCACTTTCCAGTCTTGGAGATTCCATATTTGCTTGAACACTACGGTCTTCTCTGTGAAATTAAAATTATGGATCTTAATTAAATAAACTACTCGTACAAATTATTGTCATCAAAATATTTGCTGAGCTGAGAGCGCTATTAGAATTTTATCAATCTAAATTGAAATAAGACAATTTCTCCAACAGGTTGCATTAGTTATCTTAAAAAGATATTTTTGTCTAGATTAATGTAGAGCACAAATAATAAAAGAGTGACCAAAAAATCTTAATTTTTAGATTGTGATATCATATAAAAGCTATAACTAAGAGGGAAATTTCTTAAACTCGTAGATTGACATTAATTGAAAAACTTATATATGCAACTTGTTAATTGTATTTTATATAATTATACACAAACCATGCATTTATATTTAATATAACTCAACACTGAAGCTTTAAATTTGGTTTCACCATTGTTAAAGTCTTACATTATTAATAATGGCTTACACAAAGACTTTACACTCAGTAAATTTAAGATGCTTGGACTGCTACAGAGGTTCAGTAGAATAAAATACACAAACCTTCCCTATTAAATTAAAGTTTTAATAAAACTGACAAAATACATTTTATCTCTCATGTCTGAAACAAGCTTGTTACATACACATAAAGTTTGTGTCTTTTGTTTTATAAATTGATGACACTTCAAAGAATGTAGATAAAATCTCGCCACCCCAATGTCAAAATAATTAGTGCAATAGAATGATTGAAGTCTCTCAGTACCTGGCTGAGCTTGGTTGTGATCTTTGGTCATCACTACTAGATGGCTGCACTTTGTTGCTGAAAAATAGGTTAAACATTTGTATGTTTTTTATAAATCTCAAAAATTAATGGAAAGAATGTATAAAAGAAAAAAAGTTAAAAAGACTCATACACCTATATTATCTTAGTCATAAATTGAATAGAAAAAAATATGTTGGTAGCTTTAGCTTTTCACAATTTAAAATATTTAGTCCACTGGAAGCATGTTAACAAGTGGGTAAAAAGCTTTAAGTATTTCTGTATTAAAAGTTACTAATTCCAAGTAGAAATTTAAATTCAAAAGGTCAATATTGGGAAATAACAGCTTCAGACCATAAGTCTTCCAATAAGAAATAAAAATATAATTGAGGTCAACAATTTGTTCCGCTAATGAGGGCTTGTAATGTACACATATGGAATATCATCAATCAATCGAGTTTATTCTCTTGTTTCACTGACTAGGACCCAATAATTTAGTGATTTTCAGTACATCAGCACTAGAAATGCTTGGTAACTATTTTACACAAATATGGCACTGTAAAGTTTTGCAGAATATTAAATTTATTCTCTGGTAGTTCTATTTTTTTCTAATAAATATTCTAGATCATAGGCTCTCAATCTCAAGCTTAAAAAATGATTTCTTACTGAAATAAAGAAAACATAAAATAAGGCTCCACAGCAGTGGTGTAGAAAAAAAAAAACAAGGGGGGGGCGAACGACTAGTAATAATTTTTACAGTTGGGCAGCCTTTTTTTGCAGCCGCATTGTTTTTTTTTAATGGAAAAGTGGGTAGGGGGATCATGGCCTGCTCCGGGCTGCACCAATCCCAGCTACACCACTGCTCCACAGTGAACTTTGAGAACCCCAAAGTGAGCATAACAAGATTAGGCTGATAACCAATAAGACAATATTAATTAATAAAAAAAAACATGATGACATAACAAATATGTTTTGCTGAAATATTTCATAACAATTTATTAAATTTTGTATCTGTTTTGTATGGGAGCATGTAGTCAGTTAGGCTTTGAATGTTTGAGCTTTTGTCTGTCCTGGTTGATTGTCATTTTATAAATTGATGCCAGAGATTGCTTACCACATAGATTAATTTTTACCACATAGTAAATAATATTTACACAAGCACAAATGACTGTAAAGTTTTTTATTGCTTTCTTTGATGTTTTTTTTTTTATGAGGTTGCGGTAAGTTGATAATTTGGAGACCACTGCCCTAATGCAAGGATTAAACTGAACAAAAAATATGTTTACTACCAAAAAGGAATTGAATAGCATGTACTGTATCCAGATAATTCTATTAAAAAAAAAATAAAGCAACTTAGGACAGATTTAACAGGAAGCTAACATCAAGTCTACTACAAGTAATTGTTAAAACAACTTTAGGAGGGATTTAACTGGAAGCTAACATCAAGTCTACTGCAAGTTTTTGTAACACAACAACAATCAAACAGGAGTGAGTTTCTACTACAGCTACATTATGTGATTAGTCTCCCACCTCAACAATTTCCTGATAGATGTCACTGAGGAGCTACAGACATGTTTTAAGGAAGATATATTAGAACTAAGAGAGCTGGATTCAAGTTGAAGTTATTTTCATTAATCATCAGTCATGCACATATAATTATTTGGTTAGGGTACAAAAGAAGTGAGATCACATTCACTTTGTAGGCTATTACTAAAACATTTTCAGGATTTGTTCAGCTTAAATTAAAGACCAGTGGTCCCCAGAGCTTTTAGTCACATTTTTATGACCATCTGGTAGTGGGTCTACACATTAATTTTGTGAATAGTCTTTTATAAATAAATGAATCTTCCATTTCTACAAGGTCTCATTTCAATCACTATATGCCTTTTACAAAGACCATACATTTAGGAATCTTAATTGAAACTTTCTTCATTCAAACATTGACAGGCAAACTGACCCAATGGATGATTTGCTGTGGGAGATAAGTGAAAAGGCATCGTCCAGAAGTTTGTGCATCCTGTGCCTGGCTTCCTCCAGAGTTTCCTCTTTATTCTCAACTTTCTCGTCGTCATCGTCACTAAAAGCTTCATTCTGTTAATAGAGGGTGGGGAAGGGGTGTATCATTGTGAGTGAGCTGAGAGACTTTGAAATCTGATATGCACAATTTGACATGAGCAGAATTTCACATAATTTATTTGAATTATTTATCGCTATTATCACATTTGTGTTATTTAATATTTTAACTATGCAGTTTTTATTATAAATAGCCATTAATATCTTTTTCTAACTTTCACAGAGCCAAAGGAACTTAACTCAAATTACAGTAACAATGAAACATTTACTCTTAATGGTTCATATAGAAAAACTATGGGACTTGGCACTAAGTTACAAAGGGACTTTGCACTCATGGGACCTAGTTACAAAGGGACTTTGCACTCATGGGACCTAGTTACAAAGGGACTTTGCACTCATGGGACCTAGTTACAAAGGGACTTTGCACTCAGGGACCTAGTAACAAAGGGACTTTGCACTCATGGGACCTAGATACAAAGGGACTTTGCACTCATGGGACCTTAGTTGCAAAGGGACACTATAACATTTAATGTCTATGATGAGTACTTACATCCTCTCCCTTCTTTACTTTTTTCTTCTTTCCTTTTTGTTTGTGCCTGTCACAGTAAGCAATAAAATTAGAAACATGACAAGAAAAGAAAAATTTGTCAAAAAGTGATTTTACAAGTAAGACTGTGATTAGAAGTGGATCTAGATTTGAAGTTAATCATTCAAGTCTTTGATATTTATGTTAATCATTGTGCCAACTGTATTTCATCTGCATATGGACAGACTTAATTTCCAGAACACTGAAAGAAAAATAAACTAGGGCTCACTAACAAAGACTATCAACTCAAAGATCAAAAGCTTTGATGTTATTTTCAGTGATAAATAGTTGATAAAAGTAGAACATAAATCATTGTTTTTGTTTGTTTTAAAACTTAGCTGACAGCCCAGTGCAACTGAAAACTCTCACTTCACTCTCAAACATAAATATTTATAAATCCAATTCAAAATTATGAACACATGGCTGATAACTTATAACTTTAATCTGGTCATGGATTCACCGGCCCACTAGGGCGGCTATTCCTAGACATTAAAGACCGAAGTGAATTTGGCCTTGTTGATGTTCAGCTGTCTACCATTACCTCAACTAAATGAATGACTCTGAATAAGATGTCACATTTTTATTATAATAGGGGATGGAATACTTTGAGCTTTATTTCTCAATTTAAAATATCTATGTCTGTCTAATTCATTTCCCTCTCTGTCTGTCCTGATGAGAAAAAGCATCTCAAAAACTCACTTCTTCTTTTTATTATCTTCTTTCTCATCATCATCATCGTCATCATCCCTGGGACCCAAAACCTTGTCTATTTCTTTCTGTGCATTGTCATAGGCTCTCAAGGTTGGGTCTCCAGATTTTACCGGAGAGCTATTGTCAAGCTCCATCATCTTCTTAGCTCTTAATCTCTGCTTATTCTTTTTTCTTTCCTCCTCAGCATTCTCAAGAAGGTCACCTTCTTCCTGAGGAATAATGGAAAATTTGTTGGTGAAAAAATTATTATAAAACAAATAACCTTAAATAAAATGAATAACCTATATATAATGAATAACCTATACATAATGAATAACCTATATAAAATGAATGACCTATATATAATGAGTAACCTATACATAATGAATAACCTATATAAAATGAATGACCTATGTATAATGAATAACCTAGGAGAGACTCAACTATTTATTCACTCAACACTTTCCTGAAAATGTGTGAATCTATTCAGAATCAATTTAAAAGAGAATTAACAAAATAATATTTGTATGCATAATCCATGATTTGGTAATGTCCTCTGAGGGAGCTTACACCTAATAGCTTTTCAAAGTAAATAGACTTTTTGTTGGCTGTGACTAGTAGATGACCAGCCTATTACAGAACTCATCTGGGCAAACCCTATGAGTTAGATCAAAGTAACATAACTAACAGATCAAAGTAACATAACTATCAGATCAAAGTTACATAACTAACCTCCACTGTGGGCTGTGAAGTCATGGTGTACTCCTCTTGTGAGTAGTCCAATGGGTCCTCAGCTGTTTGCAGGCTGGCTATCTGCTTCTCATAGACTGATCTGATGTCTAGAAGTGAAAGTTGAGTTTAAAATCTAACATTTGCAAATAAAGAATTATTTTTACTTAGATAACAAACAAAAAAATATTAACTCAAAATAAAGAATAAAATCCTGCAGGACTTCTTTTGAAATAAGGCATTGCATCAACACCCCTTGGCATGCTGTTTCCTATAAGAGCCTTACAAAACACCTGTGACAGGCTTTGTGTGATTGTAATCTAACAATGCATTAAACAAGGAATTGATTCATTTTCATTTATATTTATTTTATCTGATTGCACAGATTGTTGTCATGTTAGAGTAGGTGAAATTGTACAGGATATCTGAGCACGTTGGATACTGAAATCTCCCCAAAAATGTGAAAAAAATTGGTTAAAAAAACTGTCCAACATAATGGTACAAACATATTGTCCAACATATTGGTAAAACAAAACAACAGTCAAACATTTTTGGCACAGACATATTGCCCAAGATAATGGTATAAGCAAACCATCTATAAATGTTGGTACAAAAAAATTGTCCAAAAATGGTATAAAGAAACTGGTACAAATAAACCAAGCATAACTAAAGTTTTTTTTGGTTTATCTACCTTGACCACTGTCCAACGGTTTCTTTTTTCTCTTCCTCTGGGGTGTGTCCTGGCGAGCAACTCTGGTTGGTCTTTCATCTTCAACATTGGCTGCCTGAGCTTCAGCAGATGACTGTATGCCACTCCTGCATGGAAAAGTAGTTAGTGACAGAAATAACCAAAGTAACAATATCTCTGGGTTCACTAATTCACACAGTTTCTACACAGGTACTTTTCAAAATTTTCAGGAATTCACCCACATATCAACAGGCAAACCCTTTTTATGTTATTTCTATTTGCTTTTTTGAAGCTCTGTTCTATATGTCATGTAATTTCATGCAAAGTCTGATAACTAAAATAGTTTATTTTTTCTTTTTAATAATGTAGGCTTTTATCTAAATATATATATAGCTTCTAGTTAGCAACAAGATGGCTGACTCGCAAATTTGAGTGTGGACTGAAATTGACGAAAAATGGATAAGTGTCAAATAAGTATCAATAGAAATGTATATGGGAAGCAAAAGTAAGACTATGGGGAGTGCACCGAAACTGTAAATTCCAAAGATGGGGTCCTGAAGTCGATATGGCTCCGATACCAATGGCATTTTGGCAACTCATGTGATGCAGTTAGTGCCTAGTTGTATTGTCAGGTGTCATTCCCTTGCATCCGCTGGCTGCGTGGAGCGTGGAAATCTGCTGCTTCAGGTAACAGCTGGTCTTCATAAAACCCCCCCCCAGGTTAAGTACCTTAGGAGCAGAGCTTTTTTGTAAAGCAAGGAAAGTATCCATGAAACAAAGCCCTTGCAACAAAAATAGCATTATGGATAGTCAAATTTAACCAGGAGTCAAGGTTCTCTTGCGAGAAGTGCAGCCAAGACTGCCAATCCAGGATGGGTCTCGTCAACCATTTGATGAATTGTCTGTGTCTCGCGAAGGTGGAAGGATGCCTTATATATATCTAAAAATAAAGTGAAACTTAGTTGTTGTTGCTTATTTCAGGTAAAATTTAAAAAGGAAAAAGACAGTGTGAATAGAAAATGTGTATCCCTCATTTAAAAACTATGGTTAAGAAGATCCTGATTCTGCTTACTTTGTCTTTCTTGGTACTTTAACAGGGGGTTTCTTCTCAATAGAACTGTACAAGGGGTCATTTACTGTATCCTCTGGTGTCACTGCATACTTGTATTTACGTGAGCCAATGGGCAGCGACCTTTCTTTATCTGGTTCATCATCAACATATTCACTAGATCTCTGGAAGCAGTTGAAATACATAATATTAATTAATATTTAATAAATAAAAATTCTTACAAAAAGTGTTCATAAAGAATATTTTAAATGTATGAGCTCAACGGTAATAACTTTACACAGCATTGTCAGTATATTTATGTAATTTAATGTAGCCTATAATTTTAATATGAGTGGAAGAAAACATAAAACCAGTGATTAATTTTGAAACCAAGAATAACACTTAAAGCTTTATGACACTAAAAAAAACAGCAATTAATTTAGATTAATGAGACACAAACAATTTTTGTAAATAAAACATATAAGTTAAGCTTTAATTTTGGTTATACAGAATACAAATGCCAACGTGTAAATTAAATCTTAACCTTCATTGTTTTATTTACACAAATTCTGTCTCATTAATCTGCTCAAAAGCTTTATTGCAGCTTATAATTAGTTAACAATTAATTTAAACTGATTAAGTTCAATACTCAAAATAAATTAGTTGCTGCAATACTGAGAGTTTTAAAAATCACAGACTTTAAATGGCAGCAGTAACTAGACTGTCTGCTATAATTTACAAGCATTTAATTTTTCATATAAACTTAAACAAAACAATAATTCAACATCATACAGTGATAGAATAAAAAACAATCCAGTAGCATTTCAAGATCATCATAATTATTCCTTGCCTGTTTCTTTTTCTTCTTTTTTGATTTTTTAATGCTAGGTGGTGGGGGAAGAGATGTGATATAAATTTCCTCTTCATCTGTTTCCATCTCTTCCACAATGTCATCCTCCATTTCCTCATCTAACAACTCCTCTTGCTCCTCTACATGAAGTACCTTTTCTTCAAACATCCCATCATTAATCTTCTTTGCCTCATTCCTCTCTACTTGTTTCTTCGATGGTTTCAGAGAGTCCTTCAAATGTGAACTTGATCCTCCACTACACAGGCCAGCCCGACCTGTGGGCGGTTTCTTCTCCGGTAGAGCTCCGGAACCGCTCAACGCATTATCAGCTTTTATCTTGACATCACTCCTACCATCATCAAGGGCTGATTGTTCTTTGGTAACAGTTTTAGTTTTCTTAACATCCTTTTTTTGTGTCTCTACTTCAGTATCACTTTTGTTCGTTTCACTCGGTTTGATGGATAAAGTGTCCTTGACATCAACATTTCTTTGACCCCTGCATGGCCCTGACTTAGTCGAGCTAATTTTGTTATTTCCATTGGTAACATTACTCGAATTTTTGTTAGTTTCTTCTTGTTGGGGAGAGCTACTTAAAGACGGCCTAACCTCAACGCTCTTCTGTCCCCTGCATGACCCTGATGATTTTCTGGCACCATTTATTTTAGAATTTCCCTTTTTACTTTCACCAGCTTTTGTATTAATCACAACTTCTTCCTTCAAATTCACTTTGGAACCGACAAGTTGCTTCGTTTTTGACTCTTTCACATCCACACTTTTCTCTCCTCTACAGAAACCTGGGGATTTTTTTTTGTCACCATTGACCTTTGCATTGTTAATATTCTCCTTATTTTCGACACTCACAGCACCTGGTTGTGTCACTGGCAGATTTAAGGACTGCCTTCTCACATCTGTAATCAGATTACAGGGGATTTTTTTTTGTCACCATTGACCTTTGCATTGTTAATATTCTCCTTATTTTCGACACTCACAGCACCTGGTTGTGTCACTGGCAGATTTAAGGACTGCCTTCTCACATCTGTAATCAGATTACACCTGTGGTCAGAGGGTTGGTCCTCTTGGGTTGGTTTAGCCAAAGAGTCATTGACTTTAACACTCTGTTTGCCCCTGCAAGGCATTTTAGTTCTGATTTGTAACTGTAACCAATTCCGATGAACTTTAGGAAAATCCTAAATCCTCATTTGCCATCTATAAATACTATAGGCCTATAACTATGTATTCTATTAATTAGACTATTACTGAATTATAGTGAATTGTACCTCTATTCATTCTATATATTCAGAGTCTATCACTAAGTCACTATAATATTTTATCTTTTCAAACAAATTTGCCTTTGTCACATTTTATATTGAAAAATATATCCTGTAATGTTTATTCTGCTTTTTAATTCCCGTCAGTTCTACCAAGAACTAAACCTAACCCGAGCCATAAATTCAATAAATTCGTAGTTTTATTCACTTTGTACTTCTGCAATGCAATGGTGGTTTTCACTACGTAATTCAAAAACAGCCGCAACTTCACACCAACAAACACTGCAATCAAATGATCATTTGATTTAATTAGCGTGTAGTTCTATCCTTATTTTTGGAATACCATTGCGACAAGAAAATGTCCTATCTCTAAGAAGAGAAACGTAAAAATCCAAATAACAGTTTGATTAACACCTGCCTCACATAACCGTTCTGCGCACGACTGTTTCAAGTGTGTAACAGTAACAGGCTGTTGGGCATGTGTCGCGCTTGTGTAGGGGTTGACAGATCGATATATCTCAGTGATCAACATTGACTGGAACGATATTGCAATGATCCTTTATCGAACGCGGTTACGATCATGAAATCTGGGTCACGTTTCCTTTAGCTTTTAGTACAGTACCAACTCTCAAAACTATGGGGGGAATGAGGCGGGGGGTGGGTCTCAAAACTAGGTGTTTATTGAGGTCCGAACACGGCTCTTGTGCACAACAAAGTGTTCGGTATCACAACTTGCGATACACTAAAAACTTGAACCAATGACGCATCTTAGGTAATTCTAGCCACTGGGCCAACGATAGGGGGGGGGGGGGGGGGCGCGGCTAAGCACAGCCAATTGAGAGAGCATTATACATAGTCCATAACTGACCGACTTGGACTTTACATACATCAATAAATTGATATTGGCGGTTTCTGTGACAATTTCTAACAGTTATTTTCCTTGCGTATCCTTAGGCCCTCTTCAAGATTGTCGTCATCGTTCCATTAGATCAGTGGTTCTCAACCTTCCTAATGCCGCGACCCTTTAATACAGTTCCTCATGTTGTGGTGAACCCACAACCATACAATTATTTTCGTTGCTACTTTATAAATATGTGTTTTCTGATGGTCTTTGGCGACCCCTGTGTAAGGGTCTGGCAACCCCTGTGTAAGGGTCGTGACCCATAGGTTGAGAACCGCTGCATTATATCATTTATGCCAAGAAAAAGATTACGAAACGGGAATTAGCAGGTGCACACATGAAAGCTATGAAACCTGACGGAGCCGGGTTATGGGCCCTGTATGGGCCTCGAATATTTAAGGGGCCTCAAGTTGTGATGTAAGGGAGAAAATGAAACTATCCACTTTAGCTGCGGGTGGCTACAAACTGAAAAGGGTTGAGTTTGAGGTCAATACGCTATAGCAGGCCTGCACAACTCAAAATGTAAGGTGGGCCGTATGTTGTGCAGGCCTGTGTTATAGCGTAGGTAACCTTTATGACGGCCGGGGCGCGGTCTTTGGGTTTACCAACCTTTATCAACCCTTGCGTAACAAATTAATGATGAAAAAAAAAAATTAACACCAACTATTCTTTTTCCCATTGTGATTGACCAAAAAGTCCGTCCCCCCCAACACCAACAAAATGCTGTCCAGGGTGGACCATCCCGTTTTCCTACGGAAGGTGCTACGAAGGTGCTACGAAGGTGCTACGTTGACATCAGATAAATTGTCAACCAGCATTTGGATTGGACCAGTGCTAGTTAAAGATTTCATTCGCCCTGTTCAAATTTAATTGACTCCTATTACTCAATTGAATGTTCACATGTATTATCGCGTCACTCATGTGTGAGTCATAGAGTGGCGGTGACTCACATTACCGCCTCACTAAATAGCTGGCACATGGTATGAATGTTCACATGTATTATCGCGTCACTCATGTGTGAGTCATAGAATAGCGGTGACTCTTGCATTACCGCCTCACTAAATAGCTGGCACATGGTGGGGAAGGGGGGAGGCATGTCTCACATTGCGGGCCGTTTTAAAAAATAGCTGTTTGGTCGAACACGCTGACAGCTGGTTTAAACTAAAGGGGTATATCTGATCGTTTTGAAGCATTGTTAAGAGACCATGCGCCATTGTTGCACATGCTTAATCTACTCATAGAACACATCTAAATTTAACACATCTGGAGTCGACACACCTAAAGTCGTCACATATAGAGTCAACACATCTAGAATCAACATGTCTAAAGTCGACACACCTAGAGTCGACACATCTAGAGTCGACTCACCTAGAGTCGACACACCTAGTGTTGACACACCTTGAGTCGACACACTTGAATAACCTTTTAATTTTTAATGGCTTGATGATTAAAATTGGCCACATTTTTTCATGATGCAGACAAATTAATAAATGTATTAATTGTTTTAAATGCTTTTTCTCAAAATCAATCAGGACTACTCTCAGCAGTGAGACTGTGTACAACTAGCACATCATCTTCAGACTCCCATTAGTCCAAAGACTATTTCTCAGGACTTAGATAGTTGATCAATTTGCATTGAAAAAAAAATAGTTAAAACATTCCTATTAATTTATTTTAAGGGCAACTCAGTTAAAATTTACAAAAGTCCAGAACCAAAAAGAGGCTCGCAGCCCCTGATTTAAATGGTGTTAAAATTCCAACTGCACTTAATTTCTTTTTTAAGTTCAAAATTTTGTCTCCCATGTTTTTTAGTTTTTTTTGTTCAAGATTACATGAACTAGCTATCTAATATTGTTCAGCGTAATCTCTAATATTGTATAATCTATAAATCTCCCAGATATAATGTCAAACCAATTTTAGGTAATTATTTCCCAACAAGCATAAAAATCAAAAACATTATGAGAAGTAATCAATCATCAACACAGAGGAGATTTAGAAGATTTCTTTCATTACAGAACAGTTTACGAAGTTCAGCTTTAGACAAGTTCTGCATGTAGATTAGAGGGCATGATTCTTGTACTCACCTTGTCTAGTCTTGTCACCTTGACCAGCTCCGCATCCCTGAAGGTTGAGACCTCGTCCTGCTTCTTAGACTTGCAGCAGCAGCAGCACACAATAATAATGACGATGATTGCTATGAGAAGGACGCCACCCAACACGCAGCCTAGAATAATCCATTTGGTCATATCCTCCTCGCTGCTTGCTGGTTGTATGTAGGCTGGGAACACACAAATTTGTAGACAAAATTAGTTTATGTATATCAAACAAAACTTTCGAAAAACAAAAATTCGAACCGAACCTAACATTCATGAAACAAACATGTGGACTACATCTAAGAGAAATCAAGAGTCATTTCAATTCAAATTCATAACACAGAAGTCAGTTTGAAAGACGGAGATGACTGAAAAACTTACGCTGGGCAGTTATGCTGACCAACTGTCCTGTGACTATGGCAACTTCCTGTTCTGACAACAGGTTCAGCTGATCAGATGCCTGTGTTCCTGAGAGAATCTGACCATTTTGCTGGACAACATAAGTCACATCAACAGCTGAGGCATTGGTCGGTCTAGTGGCTGAAACCATCTGGTGACAGAATCAAACATACAGTCCGTGGTTTTAAGTGGAAGAAATAATACACAGGTAGGAAGCCTTTCTTATGGGAGGTAAACTGTTCTTATGGGAGGTAACCATTTCTTATGGGAGGTAAACTGTTCTTATGGGAGGTAAGCATTTCTTATGGGAGGTAAGCATTTCTTATGGGAGGTAAGCATTTCTTATTGGAGGTAAGCATTTCTTATGGAAGGTAAGCATTTCTTGAGAGAAATGAAACATATTAAGGGATGTGAGCCTTTCTTGGGGGAGGGGCAAGGCAAACATCTGTACATTAAGTTGTTGTTTTTTTTAGCTTTAGTCTAAAATAATGACATAAGATATAAATAATGGGTTCCTAACCTGATGTTAATTGGTGTTTAACTGGGGAACTATGTATACATTGCATGGAATAATACACAAAATATAAGATCTTGGTGGTTAGACATGTTAATCCTCATAGACAACAAAAAATGATTTAAATCCATTGTAAACTAAACAACCCCTAAAACCAAAGTTTTTCGAATAAATCCTTGTCTAAAATATAAGGGGGTGGTGGTGCTGAAAATTCAACAAAACATGCATACAAGTAATGCACTTTATTAGAATCCTAATTAGCCCCCCCCCCTCTCCCCCTCCCCTCACAAACGCATATTTTTTTCATGCCCCTGAACTATATTAAGATACTAATGCCCCACCCGCTTTTACACCAAAGATTTATTTCACCAACTATTTCAGAAAAACAAAAGAAAATTTGAAAAATAGGAAAATTTGGTTTTTGGGGGTGCTGGCTGAAAATTTGTTAGAATGTGTTGTCATTAGCAAAGAGTTTATGTGCCAAGTTTCAGCTCGATAGGTTGACAGGTCAATTAGGCGTTTGAAGATTTGTCAGCCAGCCAGCCAGGAACAAAGTGAAGTTAATATAAAGGATTTAAAGAGGCTTTTTAGAAATCCAATATGGGAACTAGCAACAATCACTAAATCAAACGTCAAATCTTACATCAACTTGCGTATTTGGGTCATTAGTTGCACTGGCCAGCCTTTTCCGCCTCCTTGTCAAAGGGACATAAGTACCATTCTTGATTTCCTCCTGTCGTACCCTGGCAAGGTAGTAAGCATTGGCCAAACCCATCTCAGTTTGCTGCTTGAAGGCTGGTGACTGGATATTTGCACTCAGAGGAATCCGAAAACCTGAGAATACAAAAAATTAGGAAAATATTTGCATGTCAGATAGTCTGAGCCCAATTCCATGAATTTTAAACAGAAAGATTACCTAGTTTCCCACTGAGCATTTCTCAGAAATGAAACATTCAGATATTGATGCTTTATGCGTAATGTTACACAGAACTGCAAATTAATATGATGTCCAAAACTTGGTGTTTTTTTTAAAGAATAATTTGCATATTAAGGAATGACCTATCAATTTTCTTTCCAATTATTACTGGGTCCTTGAATGATGATTGTTTTTTAAAAAAGATCAGACGGACATCACAATATGGTGACATTGTGAATGATACACGGGTGCATGTGACGACACAAGGTTCTGTCCTTACCTTGGCGTCAACAGTCCCTGACTATAATGAGAATACAACAATCACCAAACACTGGCTTTAAATGTCGCTTTCATTGCAAGAAATACAATGTTATTTGTTGCCCTCTTGTCAAGCAAATCGTTAACAATTTGACAACTTTGGGGACTAGGATTATAATTCATGGACTTTTTTTTTTTTTAATTTTTAAAAAAAAATTTTATTTACAAAATTGAATTTTTTTGGTCAAATATTTAAAGAAGAATAAGATCATTCTAAAAATTTAGTGAAGGTCATCTAAAAAAAAATTATTAAAGCTTCTTTTCATTTTACAGAATTTTGGGTATGTGATAAATGGTTTTATTTAAGGTTAAGGGCGGGAAAGGGATGGGTGGAGATGTTTGCTTTAATTGAAAATTTATAACATAACCCACCAGACTTTAATTAGATATGTTTAAGTATAAGTTTATATAAAACAGGATGAATGAAAGTGAACAAGATCAAACAGGTGGTGGAGGTCAATGAGTGAAATCAGTGCCAAGGACAAGTTACAGTGTTCTATGGAAACTCACAGTTTTGTCTATTTAACTTTGAATATATTCTGAACAGTTTATTTTTTTCTTAAATATGAACTATCACAAGTTGAGTTTATACATTATTATCTGATCTGTGTCAAATTTTAAACACTGTTTATAATCTTGCTTTTTTTTTTTTTTTTTTTTTTTTTTTTTTTTTTTTTTTTTTTTTTTTCTTTTTTTTTTTTTTTTTTTTTTTTTTTTTTTTTTTTTTTTTTTTTTTTTTTTTAAAAGACACGTTTTCTGAATCACTCAGGTTATCATATTGCCTGCATTAGCGATCATAACATTATAAGACTTTAGTATATGTCAATGCATGCAAATGATGGCCCGCCGGGAAGGGGGGGGTTGTAAAAATGTTTTTTGCATCATGTGATAAAATTATATTAAATACTATAGAAAATAGACCGCGCTACTTACAGGGGGAGAAAAGCGCTAACAGCACACAGGCAAGCAAATGGACAACATCCAATACAACGAAGAGACAATGTTTAAATGGACTACCGTGTTTGAATGGACTACGGTAACAAGGAACTGCAAGATATTAAATGTACCGGACAATACAAATATATGGACAATATAAATATACGGTACACATTTGTACAAAGAAATTAACAATAATAATAGGACCTGAAATCAGTCTTTTAAAGTCATGATATTTGTGTTGCAATAGAAAAGTCAAAAGCACCCACGTAATGTAAATCTCATGTATTCACACCAAACTATCAAAGCCTGCTGGGGGTTAAATCCTTACATTAGCGTCATTGCCAAAAGCGGTTGATTAACAAAGAGGAATTAACTCAGACTCAGGTAAAATGTACGTGAAAATACAATTATAATAAGGATTATACAAAGTCATGAAAGGAAGCTTTATCATTATAATTGGATCATTTATTCTTATTACTTTGTGTGTGTGTGTTTCAAAAGCTAATTTCATTTGTGAATGTGAAATTGGTTACTACTTTTCAATGTGACTCGAATTTAACAATCATACGTGAAAGCTGTCAAAAATCCTCATAGCTGTACCCCATATTTGTTTTGCACATCTGATTGGTTGAAAATATTATCACGTGATACAAAGACACATGCAGTTGGAAAAAAAATAATCTTGGTTTTCATACGGGATAAATAATGTGTTGGTAATTTTGAAAGGCGGTGACATTTGAACATCAAGTCAAAGGTGGGCAGGTAGCTAAAACAAGCACGAGTGGTAGTGCGCCCACGCTATACTTACAAGTGCCGTGCTGAAAATAGAGGTTAGTTTTGGCTGCACGACCGTGGACAGAGACAGCATGCCGCTGGTGGTTAGGTTAGTAGAGGTTAGGGAAGAGGCTGACATAGAAAGGGTGGGTGCTAGCGTTGACAGGGTGGGTGCTAGCGTTGAAAGGGTGGGCGGTGCTGGTGCTGAAAGGGAGGGTGCCAGAGTAGAAGAGAGAGGTGGGGTGACACTGACAGAAACCCGACTTGAACTCTCTCGTGTGGTCAAGAGTGATGAGGTCCGTGGGTTTGAAAATGAAGGATTGACCACAGGTGACGGACTGACTACAGATGACGGACTGAACACAGATGACGGATTGACCACAGGTGACGGATTGACCACAGGTGAAGGATTGACCACAGATGAAGGATTGACCACAGATGAAGGATTGACCCCAGGTGTCAGACTGGTCAAGGCGAGGGAAGAAAACCCTGAAGTCTGGACAATCGGGCTACTAATAAAGGGAGAGAACTCAGGGTGAGAGCTGGCAGTATCAGACAGTGGGCCGCTAGAAACAAGGGGAGGCGAAGAAACAATTAGAGAGTATTCAAGAACTAAGGATGAGTCGGATGGCGTGATGCTGCTGGTCGATTGTAGTGGATGGCCGAGTCCGTATGGAGATGATAGTGCCATATCAACATAAGTGTTTAGGTCATCCGGTGGCAAAGACATTATTTGGGTATTTATAATTACGACGGTAGGTGAAAGACTTGAAGTGTCAGTGAATGTTCCCGTGATTGTGTCAGGCAGACTTGATGATGTGTATGTGATTGTGTCAATGATTGTGTCAGTGATTGTGTCAGTGTCTGGCAGACTTGATGATGTGTATGTGATTGTGTCAGCGATTGTGTCAGTGACTGTGTCGGTGTCTGACAGACTTGCTGTGCCAGTGATTGTTTCAGCCCCTGAGGAGCTTGATGATGTTACTGCCATTGTGCCGATGACTGTGTCCGTGATTGTGCCAGCGTGTGAAATGCTTGAAGTGTATGTGATTGTGTCAGTGACTTTGTCTGATAAACTTGGTGGGTCAGTGATTGTTTCAGTGAATGGCAAATTTGATGTGTATGTGATTATGTCAGAGAAAATGATTGAAGGATTTTGATAGCTCATAAGAGAGGATGTTGTATGGTCACTACTAAGATAAAAAGTTGTTGTATGGCTGCTCGTAGAAGTGAATGTTGTAGGGTCACTCGTAAAAAGGAATGTTGTATGGCCACTTGAAGAAGTGAATGTTGTATGGTCACTAGTAGAAGGGAATGTTGTATGGTCCCTCATAGAAGGGAATGTTGTATGGTCACTCATAGAAGAGAATGTTGTATGGTCCCTCATAGAAGGGAATGTTGTATGGTCACTCGTAGAAGGGAATGTTGTATGGTTACTCATAGAAGGGAATGTTGTATGGTCACTCGTAGAAGTGAATGTTGTATGGTCACTCCTAGAAGTGAATGTTGTAGGGCCACTCGTAGAAGGGAATGTTTTATGGTCACTCGTGGAAGTGAATGTTATAGGGTCACTTGTAGAAGTGAATGTTGTAGGGTCACTTGTAGAAGTGAATGTTACATGGTCACTCGTAGGAGTGAATGTTGTAAGCTCACTAATAGAAGGGAATGTTGCATGGTCACTCATAGTAGGGAATGTTGTATGGTCACTCACAGAAAGGAATGTTGTATGGTCACTCATAGAAGGGAATGTTGTATGGTCACTCGTAGGAGTGAATGTTCTATGGTCACTCGTAGGAGTGAATGTTGTAGGGTCATTCGTAGAAGTGAATGTTGTAGGGTCACTCATAGAAGGGAATGTTGTATGGTCACTCATAGAAGGGAATGTTGTATGACCACTCGTAGAAGTGAATGTTTTATGGTCACTCGTAAAAGTAAATGTTATATTTTTAATTGTAGAAGGGAATGTTGTATGGTCACTCAAAGAAGGGGGTGGTGTATAGTCACTCATAAAATTGTATGTTACATGGTCATTTAAAGATGGGATTATTGAATCTTCACTTACAGAAGATAATTTTGTATGTTCACTCAAAGAAGAGACTAATGTATGGTCCCTCAAAGTAGAGACTAGTGTATGGTCACTCACAGGAATGTATGTTGCATGGTCACTCATAGATGGGAATCGTGTTTGGGCACTCATAGATGGGATTGTTGTATGACCACTAATAATATAAGGGAATGTTGTATGGTCACTCATAGAAGATAATGTTATTTGGTCAGACATAGATGGATATGTTGTATGGTTACTAAAATAGGATTTTAATGAATCGTTACTTATAGAAGAGAATGTTGTATGGTCACTAAAATAGGATTTTAATGAATCGTTACTTATAGAAGAGAATGTTGTATGGTCACTCACAGAAAAGTATGTGACAGGGTCAATCATTGAAGGAGTTATTGCATTGACGCTAATCGCGGGGATTGCTGTTTGGCCATTCAAAGAAGGGTTTGTGCTATGGTCACTAATAGAGTGGAATGTTTGATGGTCATTAATTGAAGGATATGAGCTATGGTCACTCATTAAAGGGAATGATATACTGCCACTCACAGAGGGGAATAGTGTATGGTCACTCATAGAAGGGATTATTATATATTCACGGGTAGTAACAGCATTCGCATATGAGTTGCTTGTTGATTGTATGAAAACATTTCCTGTAGAACCAGAGGTGAAGAAATACGGGTCTGGTGTCAGTTCTGTTGTTTCAGTCAATGATGTGAGATCCATTGTTGACCCGAGATTAGTTTGAAGCTGTAGTGAAACGTTTGTTTGTAAAATACGAGTCATCAGGAAAGTCCTGTCTTCTGATCCACTTATATCAGCATGTGACAATTGTGTACTGCTAAGAACTACTGATGACCAAAGGTCACTGATGGATAAGAGAACAGCTTGGCTTATCGAAGTAATCAAGTCTTCAAATGGCATCATCTCACTGCTTCTTGAATCTAGCCAACTTTCCAATGGTGACACCACGCTGCTTCTCGAAGTCACCCAACTTTCAAATGGTGTCAGATCTTGACTTCTTGAAGTCACCCAACTTTCCATAGGTGTCAGATCTTGACTTCTTGAAGCCACCCAACTTTCCAACGGATCAAATGTGCTGCCGTTCCAAGAAACCCATCCTCCTGACGGAGTCAACACTTCTCTACTCGCAGAAGACCAATCTTTCGCTGAATGTGACTGGCGATCAAGAAGAGATGATAGAATCACTTCAAGAAACGGAGTAAATGATTGACTAGAGCTTGTCTCAACGTAGTCGATGCTGGGTGTCTCGAAATGGTAAGTCCAAGATGTCTTCAGCACCCCAGAGTTTGAGAAACGTGTTTGTGGCGTAAGGAACTTTGCAGTATCAACAAAAGACATCGTTACGAACAGCAAGGAATCATCAACGTTTGGGGTCTTTAAACTTGCCAAAGGGATCAAAGGGGTCGAGACATAAGACTTTTCAACCTGGGATCCATGCACTTGGCTGTCTGTATTCCACAACGAGATCATTTGGGTTTCAGTCAACGTGGAAAATTCCCAAATTATGGACGCCTTTTCTGACATGCCCGAGGTCTCTTCGGAGACATAATTCATTTCCCGTGTTTCAGTTGTGATCACAAAATCTGGTGAATATTCACTTTCATGCGAGGCATTCAACATCGATGGCGAGATGTTCAATTCATCAGATTCAAATACTCCGTTCGTTGCAGATACCCCACCGGACACTGGCATCTCACCTGTGGCGTACATCTCGTCTGTTGTCCAATATCCGGTCAAGCTGATCCCAGGGATAGTGTCTAAGACCGTATTCGTATGTCTGGTGATTGGGGGAGCTGGTGTTAAGACTTGAGGTTCAAGACCTGACAAAGACCCGGGAGGAAATGAGGCTGAAATTATTTCTAAATCGCTGTCACTGTCCGAATACGATGAATCTCTCTCACTGACACCGTCCGAATATGATTCCAATGAGCGATATGGTTTAGTGAACACTGAAGAAGAATGCAGCATCCATGTGGCAGTTTCATTGTCATGGCTCATTAAATATGATCCCAGTGTTGGGGTCACATCCCATGAGGCTACTGCATTCATACTAACTGCATGGAGTGAGTCTGACGATAGTCCAAGTTCACTAATAACTGAAGGAAAACGGGACATCCGAGAGGAGACAAAGACCCGTGTTGGCGGTAGATCTACCAATTCACTTACAGGTCTTGTCGACCCCGAGTTCGAGGTCATCATGCCGTCCAAAATATTGGATGGATCCATTTGGACTTTAGTTTCTGACACAAATGATGTCGGATTATGGCTTGACCACTGTATTTCTGAATGATGAAACACTCCACTAGAGCTGACCGCTGCCGAAGCATGTTCAGTGCTTGGCGACAATGTGTTCCCGGAGGTAGAAGTCAAGACTTGTTCTACTGTGGTGAGCTGAACGATGTCTGTGAGAGCCTCCAATAGATCACTCACAGAATCAAGAGAATGTGCACTTTCAGAATAAAGAGAATGTGTACTCCCAGAATAAAGAGAATGTGTACTCCCAGAATAAAGAGAATGTGTACTCCCAGGATCAAGAGAATGTGTACTCCCAGGATCAAGAGAATGTGTACTCCCAGGACCAAGAGAATGTGTACTCCAAGAATTAAGAGAATGTGTACTCCCAGAATCAAGAGAATATGTACTCCTAGAATAAAGAGAATGTGTACTCCCAGGATCAAGAGAATGTGTACTCCCAGAATTAAGAGAATGTGTACTCCCAGAATCAAAAGAATGTGTACTCCCAGGATCAAGAGAATGTGTACTCCCAGGATCAAGAGAATGTGTACTCCCAGGATCAAGAGAATGTGTACT